AGTAGTTGTAAATTGGCTGTGTCCACGGGAGGAGGTGAGTTCCGAGTCTGCCTACGCCGCCATCTTGACTTCTGTCGCATCTAAATATACTTTAAATACAGAGACATATTTAAGTATCCGCCAATTTAAATGCCCTTAGTTGTGAAATATTCTAGTCCAGCCTGATTACGTCAAGGCAAAGTCAGTGCTGCATTTCCTCGGGCAAGAACAGCTCTCAAGCATTAGACACATCCATGAACGGATGGCTTGGCCATGTCTAACAGCTTCCTTAGGCTGCCTTTAAAATCCTCATGGCCTCTGAAAACATCCATGATACTTTCTACAAGGTGTTTTTAAAAACCCACATTATTTCAGATCCTTGTTGACTATAATAAATGGTGTCCCCCCACAGCAATTAACGGGAGAATGTTTGGAAACAACCAAGGTCTGACGCTGCACGTTGGGGATGAAGTGAACTGGTACCTGATTGGCATGGGGAGTGAGTTTGACCTGCACACGGTTCACTTTCACGGCCACAGCTTTGACTACACGGTAAGAGCCCTGGGCAGCTCCGTTGAATGACTGTGGGGCAGCTGCAGGGGCAGCATGGCAAGATAACAGGGCTGGAGAGGAAATGACCAAGGCACAACTGAGGTTCAGTACATACAATCTATATCAGGTACAAGTAAATAATTATACATTTAGTTCTTTATATCCCATGGACATTTGATAAGTGCTTGTGAATACATGAAGTGCAATCTGACGTTACTCGATAAGTAAATGAGACATCTATAATCATCTTTAGTTTCACCTTTTGTATCCCAACTTTTTTTTGAAAATTTTCAACTCCTTAGTAACATAACAGAAAAACACCTTGAATACTCACATACATTTTACCACATTTGCTTCCTTTCTATATATATATTTTTTGGAACCCAATTGAAAGTAAATTGCAAACATCATGACTTCACCCCTAAATACAAAAGCATGTGCACCCTAAGAATAAGGACAATCTCTGCCCAGCACAATAACATTATCACACTCCCCAAATTAACATTAATTCCATAAGGTAATCTACGTACAATCCATTCAAATATCTCCAGTTGTCCTCAAAATGTTCTTTATAACTGTTTTTTTTAAATCCAAGATCTAATCTTCTATACAGAGCATTTGGTTGTCATTGTCATATCTTTCCTAAAACCAGAAGAGACCTTCTGCCTTTTTTTTTTCTCAATCTTTCATGACATTTCATTTTTGAAGAGTCCAGGCCAGTTGTTTTGTGGAATGTTCCACGTCCTGAATTGGTCTGATAGTTTCCTCGAGATTAGACCCATGTCAAACCTCTTTGGCAAAGATACTACGTAGGTGATATTGTGTACTTCTCACATATCACAGCAAGAGGGACATGATGTCAACAGGTGCTGATACTGGTGAGGCTAAGTTTGATAACTTTTTTAAGGTGACGTGTACCATTCTCTCCCTTTTAAAAGTATCATCATCTTCTTGTAATAAATAAGCAGTCTTTGATTTTTTTTTTTACACATTTTAATCCCCAATAATTTTTCACCTTGTAGTTTTAAAAAGGATCCATTGACGAATCTTGCCCGAATCAGTTTTTGTAATGGGAATTACAAATGGTGGCTTTCTAATTCTCTCATTCCTTTAACATTTGTTATAAGATAAAAATGTGGAATTAGATGACAACTGGCTTTATGGTTCCTTTTTTATTATTGTTGCCATCATTCCCTGTTTTCTGTATTCTCAGCCTCTTTGTATCTTCTGTCTGAATTGTTTTCCCTCACCCCACAAGTCATTCTTCTTTACAATTGTTTTTTTACTGACCACTTTTGACTGGCCATTTCTCTAATTTATTATAAATATTTTCTTTTATCCTTCCAGTTTCTGTCTCCAAGTTAATGTCATTTGTTTACTTAAGGAGCACTTTCCTCATCCTAATCCGTGTATAAACATTAATGTACAATTGAGGACCAGTTATATTCCATGCACTTGACACCTCAGACATTTAATCTAACCACTTGGCATAATACCATCCATCTTTTCCACGTTGATGGAACTTTCACACAGAGCTGTCTGGAATTCTAGATGTATTCTGTTCAAAGCTTCCTTAATGCTCAGGGTCTATCGTAGAAGTAAATTAAATGAATGTGCATGATTTGATTTACACAAACCTTTATTGCTTTCTTTCCTATCCCTTAATGAACAAATTTGTTTCTCTTAAGCCATTTTTTGGGCTTAAAAACTATTTTTATTATATGGAATTTTGTATAATAAAGTGGACAGAATAATACAATGAATCCCTTTACCCATCACCCAGGTCCATCATGACCTTTCTCTATACTTCCATGTACACTGCCCATATTTTTTAAGGAAAACCCTAGATATTAGAATTGTTATTAAGCTCATACTATTTACATTAGACTTTAAGAATTAGAACAAAAGAGTGAGACTTAAAATCTGGTTACAGTTTTTTACAGTATATTTGATGTTCAGTTCAGCAAATGCCTCTGATAATCCTAGAACCAGGCCAAGTATTGTGTGGAGATAAAAGGAAATCAGAGTTAAACTTGAAGGGCTACACCTAATAAATGATTATAAGGTGTTGAATTAAGTGGAATTCATGGTAACCTTTCTCTAATGATAAGTATAGCTAACCGTCATTAAGTACTTCTTATATGCCAGATACTATGCTTAGTACTTTGCTTGGATTTCTCACTGAACCCTCAGAACTTCCCCATGAGATAGACACTATTTTATTACCATTTTGTAGGGGAATGAAATGAAGGATTAACAAGATCAAGAACTTTCCTACAAGCAGAAAGTGGTAGAAGTAGGAACTGAGCCCCTCACTCTGAACCTCTTCACAACACTGCCTCCCTTAGGAACAACCCTATTTAACCCACAGAGCCTGGTACCACCAGCTCTCAACTCTAGCTGTTACCTCTGAACCGTCACAGATGATCATAAGTAGTCTCCCATCCCTTGGTATAATTTAATTACACCAGCATTGATGTCACTGCTGGGCTTTACATCCTGGAACTCCTGGGGGCAGCAGAGCAGCCCTCTGGGGTTACTAACTTGGTCTTGGAATAAGCTAGCTAGTCACCTCCTGTTCCGTAATGCTGCGGTCTCCCTCGGTGCCAGGGCTCCAGGTACATATTGTACCTTTACTGTACATTGTATGTAACATCTCTTAGTTAAAATTGTTTCTTATTGCTCTCTACATTTTCTGACATGGTAGAAATGTATCTATGTCACCCGTATTATGGTCACCTTAGATGCAAAGTTAATGTGCCCAAATAACAGAGACTCAAGCCCCCGCTCTGCATCTGGTAGGAAACGGCCCAGCCTCCTCTTCTCCACCTTCCAGTGTCTCCAGGTCTTGAGAGCCTGAAGTTCTTCTCGTAACCTCCAATTCTCCTTCCTGGTTCTGTGCATCTCCCTTGCCTCTCATCTCCTGTGGCTGATATTTTCCCCTCTCTGTGCAGTTCTCAAATGGAACGCACCCCCATTTTCTATGATTCCCCTAAACAACCATGAAACTAAGACCACTGTGCGTCATAGACCTTCAGTGAAAGTTTGGGGGTAAACAAGGCTTTTTCCTTAATCAATAGCATAGTGAAAGCACTTACCAGTTGACATTAGATAGCCCTGTCTTCAATCACCCTCCACCACGTATCACTGAGACCCTCAGGCTCTCCTGTTTCTTCCTCTCACCCTCAGGACTTCTTTCTCCACTTTCTTCCACTCCAGACTCTCTTCAAATCCCTTCTCTCCTCAAATGATTCTGGACCCCCATCTTGAGCTGCACTCTCCAGCACGTCCCCCATCCTCCAGATACCTCCCATTTTGTTACGCAGAGCGATTCGTATCCCTCTTACTCTCTTCCTAATCCTTCTCCTCCAGACCCTGGGCCTTCATCTTTCAAAATCCAAGTAGCCTACAGAGGACGTAATCTCCTAAATATCAGGTTCTCTGCTGAAGAGAGAAAGCAGCCATTACGGCCCTCAGTCCTCAGCCCCAATCCCAAGACGGCAGACATAGCTGCAGGAGCCAGACGAGCTCTTTTCCCTCCTATAACCATGAGTTTTCCTGATTAGTTACATCTCAAGAAATTATAATCTTCACATTACCAACAGCCCTAGTTAGAAATGTTTCAGCTAAAACCTGTGAGATTTGGGAAACCGAATGTTCTCTGAAATCTAGAGCATTCCTTTGTATGAGATGCTGACAAGGTATCTAACACTGATGCCGACACAGGTATCCTTTTAGAGTGAGGTGTTTCCCTGTGGCCTATCACTGAAATGTTCTGGGACTTGCTCCTCCTCTAAACCCTCAACTATAGGCTCCAAACCCTCAACTATACTCAGAGGAGAGGTGCAACAGCACCTAATGCTTTCTAATTGTCATCTAACAAAGTCCATTAGAATTGGGGAGTTATGGCAAATGGTAAGATGTGTAAATGACTGATACCTTGTATAAGCTATTTAATGGTGTTTGTCTCCTGTTGAGGATTCGGGACTGTATCGCTCTGACGTCTATGACCTTCCTCCTGGAGTCTATCAAACTGTAAAAATGTATCCAAGAGATGTTGGAACCTGGTTATTTCATTGCCATGTTAGCATTCACATTGGGGCTGGAATGGAAAGCACTTACACCGTAATCAAATGAAAAGGTAAGAGCTATTAGCCAAATTAATTAGAATTGATCATATTTAATAAACTCAATGTGTATATAAGGGTATCTGATCCACTGAACATTTACGTAATATGACACACCACTCATTCATGCAAAGATTACTGTTTTGAGGTGACCAAGAAACTCTGGTTTTATTTTCTTTATCAAACTTAGGTAGCTATTTCTCATCTGATAAAAGATACTCTAGAATTAAATGTAATTTCCAGATTCATATAAAATATGCATAAGGATTTGAACAGACAATTCATAGAAGATGAAATACAAATGACTGCTGAACCTCTAATGATATCTAACCTTGCTAATAATCATATCACTTAAAAACCCCATTTAAACAACAGTAAGATAACTTTTTGAGTGAGGAAGCTATTAATTTGGCAAAGATTTCTTTTTTCAATGATAGTATCAATAACAGTGTGGTGAGATGGGTCCATTGCATATGCTCTGAGGGAAGTATAGACTATCTCCACAGCTCTTGAAAGAAACTAAATAATGATTCTAATATTTTGACTCAGTAATTCCACCTGGCAATTGATCTCAGAAAATTTTCAACATTGCCAAAAAATATCTATCACCCCATTAGTTTATGCTAGTGGAAAACTGAAAACAAGCAAATGATCTATTAGCATCTAAGGTATTATCCAACTTCAAAAATCGTGCCTTAAAATTTTAATGGGAAAATGCCTATAATACAATATTGAGTGATAAAAAAGCAGTCTATAAAATAGTATTTGAAATATTATCCAAATGCTGTGTGTGTGTGTGCGTGTGTGTGTGTATTAAATGAGGTTTTTAAGTGATATATATATATATAGACTGAACAGAAATCCACTGAAATGTTAATGGTGACTCCCTCTAGGTTGTGAAATTATGAATGAGGTTTATTTTCTTCTTGTACTTTTCTGCTTCTTCTGAGGTTACTGTAAAGTTTAAATTACTTTTAAAATCAGGAAAACTATGGCACGTGTATATCATATGCTATTTGAGCATATACCGTGTAGCTCTTGAGTTCTGTGGAAATGCTCTCTGTGGGGCTCTGTGCTGAAGGACGGAGCAGCTAGGCAGGGGAAGGAGTTTCATTGTGGACGGTTCCTCACAATCTTCTCTGAATATAAAGACTACATTTCTCACAAAAACAAAAACTTATTAGCCCAAAATAGAATTTTTACCTACAACATACTATTAATACCAATTATAACATTATTACTAATGCAATTATAATAATTATTACTCTTATTCCTATAATCATTCACATTCATTCTTAGTAAAAGAGGCTTTGGTGTGGTGTCCAAGAAATAAATCCCCCATTCACCACATTTCTTTGAGAAACTAGATTTTGCATCCCTAATAACATAAAGCCAAACTTGGTTCAGTCTACAGGTCATCTGTCCACATGGGAGAGGGGCAACGATGCTGCTATCCATTTAATAAGGAAATTTTTTGTTGCAAAAGCAATGATAGTCATTTTAAAGATGTTCTTAGGACTTACAGAAACTTTATATTTTTTCCTTACAGGTATATAATCATTTTTGTTTAATATTCCAACTTAGACCTCCATGAAACTTTCTTTCCTACAGCATGAACTTTCTTTCCCTGGCATAAATCCTGACAAGTGTATGAGCAGGAGCTGCTGAAGAAGGAAAACTCATGGAGGTGTCTAGGAGGGGCTGGGTAAAGACTTGCGTGGCAATGGACCAGGAAAACTAGCCTGAAATAAAAGTTTTCTTGGTAAATTTTGTATGTGAGCTGCCTCCTCTTTCTGTAAGCTGTGTCCCTGAAGTAGAGCCCACAGTGGTATGACAAGGCTGTTCACAAATGGCAGTGAGGGAGGCAAAGGGACGAAGAGAGCAGGTGCAAACTGAAGTCTGGCTCGGAAAAAAATATATACAGCCAAGACTTTACCCTAAACTGCAACATTTGCAAACCTTAAAAAATGCACTTCTCATAGCATGAATAAACATGTGAAGCAGTCTTTAAAATGCAAATCCAGGGGCCGGCCCAGTGGCTCAGCGATTAAGTGCACGCGCTCCGCTTCAGCCGCCCAGGGTTCGCAGGTTCGGATCCCAAGCGCAAACCAACACACCGCTTGTTAAGCCATGCTGTGGTGGCGTCCCCTATAAAGTAGAGGAAGATGGGCACGGATCTTAGCCCAGGGCCAATCTTCCTCAGCAAAAAGAGGAGGATTGGCATCGGATGTTAGCTCAGAGCTATGTTAGCTCAGGGCTGCTCTTCCTCACACACACACACACACAAAAATGCAAATCCATATACTATACTGTGCCTTAGGCTTGGAAGACTGCAGGTTACAGAAGGTATAAGTGCCAGTTTTCCAGAACCAAAAATAAAGACTCATGCTCTGACTTTGTATCTAGCAATATTAACAGTTGGGATGTGTTCTGCTACAAGTAACAGAAAACCCAGCTAAGAGGAGATTATCAATGGTGTTTGTCTCAAATTTTAAAAAAAGTTAGGAGGTAGTTAGCTACTAGGATTGGTTCAGCAACTTGATGATGTGAGGGCCAGTGTCTTTAATGCCATTGGCCTTTCCCTGATGCCTCTTGCCTCATGGTTGCAAGATGGTTGCCGCAGCTCCAAATATTACATCCAGGTTGAAGGCAGAGAAGAAGGAAAAAGGAGTAGCACCAACCACATCTTCTCCTTTTATCAGGAAAGCAGAAAGTCTTCTGAGGAGCCCCAGCCAACTTCTGCCTGCCTCATTGTTCAAATCACTATCATCTGGCTACTTGTAACTTCAGGGAAGGCTGGAAAGGAGCTTTTGTAGCCTCTCTAGTGGAAATAGCAGGGAGAAGCAGTTAGAAATGTCTTGTGGGTTGGCTAACAGTCTCTGCCTTAGACAATAAGTAAGAATATTTGAAATCAGGAACTGGTTAAACAAAAGGGTTCAACATGAGAATTGAAACCAAAGTCAGACTTGTCATTCTTTTCACTTTTTGACTTCTTAATTTCATAAACAATAAATGAACACCTGGAGTATTACCAAGCAAATCCCTGACATCATATCATTTCACCCCAAAATATTCAAATATGTGTTTCCAGAAGAGGACTTTTACAAATTAATATACTAAATATACTATTACAACATCAGACAAAATTAACAACACTACTTCACTCTTTGATACTGAAACTAATAAGAACCTATAAAATCTGGATGTAACTAGACCCCACCACCCCAAGAAACATCCAAGTCTGAGAGTTTTAAAGGTGTTGCTGATAAAACTAGAATATTCTTTAAGAAACTGAGAGACGTGTTGCCCAAATCTCACCAAGAACAATGCTTAATCCATCTACTTATTCATGTATTTAAGAACACAGTCCTAGACTATGGGTTTCAGAGATGGACAAGAGTCACAGTCTATCGAAATAAACCCTCATTTAATGGGTATGTGACGTGTGATTTAGTGAATGGAGTTGAATGGAAGGGTGGCCATCTGAATGCATTCTCACCAGGGGAGAGTCAAAGACTAAGAACACATCAGTGGGATGTGTCTCCTGCACAGCTGTTGGAAGGTGCTCTTATTCTAATGATGAGTACCCACTATTCAAACAGGAATATTGTTAGTGCAAAAAAATCAAAGAAAAAAAGCAAAGGAATATGCTTTAAGGAATATACATTCTTTCACTCAAATTCTGTACTTACCAAGAAAACTTCATTCCATAATACGATTTTCTGTCCAGATTTATAAACAAATTTTTTAAATGACCAATAATATATGCCCATCTTCCTTTACTTTTAAAAGCATAAATTTTATTGACTTATTCTCCAGGTTCGTTGGCAATCAATCAGCCCTCTAAACCTGGTCATCTTTATGTAAACTGACAAAATGAAAGTTCTGAATCTGCCAACAGAACAACCAATCCTGGAAAGAATCTTTCCAAAGTGCAGAGAGACTTGGAAGCCCAGGCTAAAGTGGTCTGGAGCCCACTCTAATACCCTCAGGACCGCGACGCCTCTCTGCATCAGACAGGCCTGTACCTGAATCTCAGCTACACCACTCACTGGCTGTGGGGTCTCAGATGAGGTATCAAGTCTTTCTTATCCATAGTTTCCTCCTCTATAAAATGAAGATAATAACAATGATACCTATTTGTGGTGTTAATTAAAAAAAAAAAAGGCTCAAAATGGAGTCACTTATGCTAACACCCACATCAGCAAACCAAGACTTAACACTGAATTTAATTACAGTTTCAGCCTCTCCCAGGAATGGAATCTTAAAACAGTCAGTCTGGAATCACCTGGTCAGCACTAGTGAGGTCGTCTGCCTGAAAGACTCCTGCCCTCCCCTAAAGGAAGGTGACCTTGCCACAACCAATCCTCTCTTTGCTAGTATAATCTCCTTGTCCCACTCACTTCTGCCTATAAAAGTCTTTCCTTTTGAATAGCTCCTCAGAGCTCTACCTGCTAGATGGGGTGCTGCCCGATTCATGAATCATTGAGTAAAGCCAATAAGATCTTCAACATTTACTCAGTTGAATTTTGTTTTTTAACAGTATTGGTGGCAGTGATGGGATCTGAAGGAAACTTCTGACAGCTTTGGGGACAACAAGAAACACAAGCGCTGGTACCCAAGAGCTCGTTGAGTTCTCTGTCTGGCCACCATTTCCGAGGATCGTGGATAAGTTCCTCTTGGTTCTGAGCTTTGCTCTCTTTGCCTCGAGCTTCTGATCTAACTGGCTTTCCAGGCCAGGGCAGGTCAGCTTGAGCTAGCCGACAGTTCCACCTGGAACCCAAGCCCCCCAGCCCTTGGTTCAGCCTGCAATTCCCCATTTGACTGGAATTCCCAGCCCTTGGTTTAGTCCAGATTCCACAGTGGGAACTGCAGATGTTTCAGTCTGCAGTTTCCCATTTGACTGGAGTCCCAGTCCACAGTCGCCTTTGTTGGGGTCTACTGGTTCAGTCCTTTCCCCCTTTCCCAGTTCCACATTGGCAATTGCCGGCAGTGTGCACAAAGCCTTCTCTTGGCCAGTCCATAGTAACATCTCTTTGGTTACTGCTGGTATATTAACGTGCACATGAGGTAAAGGCTATTGCTAAGGGGAATCTCAGAAGCCCAAAGCAGCAAAATTGTGGGTACAGGTCAAGCACTTAAAAGCTGTTAGAGCACTTACCACCTAACTCTAAGACTCCTGTGTTAGGATAAGTTGGTCACAGAATAGGTTAGATTGACACTAGTCACCCACCAACCTCAAGAAAATTTCTGTGCAACAAGGTACACGTACAGCACCACACAATCCCCACCCAGTGGCACCTCCCTCTTAGGTATTAATTTGGTTCTGAGAGATCCAAGTGTTTGGCTAAAGAAATGGGATCTTTAAGTTCCAAAGAATTGAGTGTGCCATCTTCTGGCACACCTGCTTACTTTATGCCTAAGAACTGTGACCCTGGAAACTGTAGATATCTACAAAAATGGCAAAATCTTACTAAGACAACCTAAAATTACAATGGTCATTACGAGGAATGTTCTAATTAGATAAGATCATTTAAGAAGTGTGCTTGAAAGCAAAGCCTCCCAAATCAAACACACAGAATAGGATACCTATTTCAACTGGCATGCAGAAGCCTCCAAAAGCCTTCAAAATTCCAAAATAGCTTCAGTGAAAGATTCGCTACAAAAGGTTAATGAAAAGTTAAAGGCACAAGAGGTACCTAAAACAAAAGACCATAAAAACTGACATGACTCCTACTGCTCCCCTCTATCCTCCTTGACTTGAGTACTCATTTTATTAATCTTCTGAATTGTCTTTCTACTCTGAAGAAACTACACAACCACAAACAAAAGTCTGCTGAGTTAGTGGCCTTACAGACACCCCCATAACTACCGTTGAAGGAGGGCCCCCATATGAGTCCTTCCCAGGGTTGAAGGGACTCTGAGGGATTTTATGGTAGACTGCTACATTATTCACTTAAACAGCCAAGAGAAGACTAAAATTAAAATTCATGGAAAACCTTGCCAAATTCTGGTAGATACCAGAGCCTACAGATAGGATCCTGGGAAAACTGGCAGAAGCTAGTGAAGGGTGAGAATTCTTACCAGAGTCAGCTCTCCCAAATCTCTGTCTATAGTGCCCACACAAGAGAGGAACATAAAACTTCACATGTCCCCTTCCTTTCCCAAATCCATACCCATTATTTATTGATCGTTTCTCTCCCAGGGACAGCTGTTACCTTCTTGTTTGTCCTGTTTTGTGTTCTAAGAACTTGGCTTGGTAACGGTTGGGCTGGAGGCCCCAAAATACAGCCAGACAAAAATTTGCTTTGCACCTCGTTTGCAGCTAGCTATGGCTGGACAGAAATGTGAGTTGAACTCCATTTGTGGCTAGAGTCTATTGTCAGCCCTCAGTGGAATTGGCTAAGTCTTTCCTTCCTTTGGCTACATTTGGGAGTAGCTCTGGATCTGGAGAGGATAATTTCTTTTTCACTCTCTTTGGGCATGCCTCTTGGGTCCAAGGGGTTGTCTAACACTCCAGGAATATTTACTATTTGTCTCAAACCTGACAAGATATTTGAAACGCTTTTTTAAGTAGCTCTATGGTCAGAAGTTGGCCAAATTGGAAGCTGACATTCAGAGGCTGACAGGAACATTATTTTTAGGCCTTCTGTTAGTTAAAATTACCCAGAGGGAAAGAAAAAGATTCTAAAGACAAAGCTTTCAATCTAGAACATGGGAGTCCTTTTGATCTTCATCTTAGTTGAAGATCT